CCTCCCTGGAACCACACGGGCCATGGCTGGGCAATCTGCGGTGCCCGAACCTGGGGCCCCCGGCCCGGGGCTGTTATTGCCGAAAAATAACAGTCACGACCATGGTGTGGAACAGCAGGGCCCGCAACCGAGTGCCCACCCGGCCCCGCAGTCAAGACCAGGCGGGCCAGTGACATGCGCTTCGCACAGGGAGAAACTGAGGCTCAGAGAGGGTGATCGGCTCGGAACGGGGAAGGCGCTTTTGCCTTCTTCCTCCATTAAAAACATTTAAATCATATTTTACACTGCATTGTCACAGAGACAAATATATTAATGTTACAGATGAAAATGCTTCCTTCCGCCCGAAAGTTCATTTTTTTCTTCCCTGCTAACTTTAAAAGAATTGAAAACATCACCGCAGGCCCCTAAAAGTACCGTGAGCCCGAGAGGCAGTGCTCACTGGGTCCCGCCGGCACCCAGGTCTCCCAGCCTGTGCAGCGCCAGGGCAAAGCCCAGAGACACACGAGTACTTCCCAAGGCCACACAGCAGGCTGCCAGCTGACCCAGGGCCCCCAGGCTGCCTTCCCAGCACCCGCACCAATTCTTCAAACCTGGCAGGCGCGCAAGCAGCCTGGGAGCGGACAGAGCAGAACAGGAACCGAGTCAGCAAAGGCGGCAGCGCTCGAGCTCCCAGCCCTGGGAATCGGGTGGGGCCCAGCCGGTGTCCGGAGCCCCTGACCTCTTCCTGGGTGACCCTGGGCTGCCCCTGGCCTGTATGGGCCCCCAGAATCCACAGGATCAGACACTTTTCTCTGTCTTGGACTCCAGCTTGCACACAGTAGGGCCGGTCTGGGAGTTTTCTCTTCCCAGCCACCAACTGGCTGTCCCGTGTGGACACCGCGCTGTTTCAGTGTCCAGCTCTCTCGCGTCTCCTTCTGGGGCTGTAGTCACTTCACAATCTGGCTAGATTCCCACAACGGTGCCTTAAGGCAGGGTGCACCCCGCTGGGGAAACTGAGGCACACATCTCAGGTCCCACAGCAACTCGGCCACCAAGTGGGCATCTGAGTTCACGCTCAGGGATTCCTCAGCCCTCACCACCGGTCACTTCCCTGCTTGTCATTTCATTTGGCAAACACCCACTGTGTACCCAGATGCTGGAGTCTTAGCAGACAACACCCTGTGCAGACTTTCTTCTCTCCTCCCTCCTCCCGGTCGGCGGTGACCCCATTAAACAAGCACTGATATTGTAATTAACATTATAATGATCATGTTTGCACGCACAGCGCTCCCTTCCTCCCCCAGGCTTCTCTGATCTTCCCAGAGGGAGTCGGCCCATTTCACAAAAGGACAAACCGAGGCACAGAAGGGAAAGAACCACACACACAGGTAGAGGCAGATCCAACCTGGCGGTGTTGAGCTCCCAGCCCAGTGCTCACTCCCGGCCTCACTGCTGGGATGGAGCCCCAAGGGACAGGGGATGGGCTGGCCTGGTGCCTCCCACCTCCTCCTGCCCAGGGCCTCTCCCAGAACAGGCTCGCCCCTGGCGTGGGTGACGGTATGTGGGTCAGGGTGCGCCCCAGGCAGTACCACCAGTGAGACCAGAGTGGCTTGAACTCCTATTGCAAGGACTGTGGCTTGGTCGTATGTTTTACTGGCTGGCAGGTCAGCCCCGCTCCCTGTCGCCAGCCCCGATGCCAGACTGTGACCATCAACCCATTTTGCAGTGCAGTGCACTGAGGCTCAGAGGCCAGCAAGCCATATGGGGGAGGGGGATCTCCAAATCCAATGCTCTCTCGACCCCAAACCACCTACATCTTAAGCAAAAGAGTAGAACCGCAACGTGACAAAAGGCAGGACGAAGGGGTTCAGAATCTGTACAATGTCCCAAGCTCCCAACCTCAATTTTCAAAAGAGGAAACCAAGGCTCAGGGAGGTGTTGTCACCTGCCCAAGGTCACCAGTGAAGCAGGTCCATTCGATGCTGCCTCTTGGTCCCCAGTGCGGCTGGGGCAGGTGACTCGGGGGATCTGAGGCAGATGGAGGGGCCGCCCACCCCCACCCCTCCTCCACACCCCACTCACAGCAAGCCTCTGGCAAGATCCTAATTTACCTCGATTTATTTTAATCCCCAGGAGCAGATGCTTGCTGTCCCCCCGCCCCCCACTGAGAGAGGGACCCCACAAGTCCAAGCTCCAGGCCCTTCCAGG